CCTCCCTCCTCCCACTCCCTCCTCCGATCCTACCACTCTCCCCCCTCCTCCTCTCTCCTCCCTCCATCTCTCCTAAACCCTAAACTATTTTTTACTATTCTTGTATAATGTAGTTTTTTACTGTTTTTAGTAAGTGTTTAATAGAATAGTAAGAAAATTAATAGAACTAATTGAACTAGTTTATTTTTAGTAAGAACTGGTTTATTTTTATTTATAGTTGGTGCTTAGTTGAACTAGTTGAATTAATAGAACTAGTTTATTTTTAGTAAGAAAATTAATAGAACTAGTTTATTTTTAGGTGTATTTAACAGAATTCTAGGTTGATTAGTTTTGGAGTGGACATGTCATATTTTGAACATGTCACATTTGTTGTTATTTTTTTAGTTAAAGCATTTATTCCCGCATCAACGTCACAGATTCGTATATACTTTAAATTCCACACGTCACAGATTCGTCAACTTTAAATTCCACAGTTCAGACCAGTCGTCCAGACTTGAGCCGCCGCCATCAAAGATAGACGATGCAAGGCACATACCAATTTGGCATGTATAACTGAAAAATCGATATCACTGTGTTATGTAAAAGAGTGTATGTTACAATTTGCATATTTGGATTCATGTAAAAAGTGATCAACATAGAAAAAAATTCAGCCCTTATATACTTTATATTTTATATTTGGAATGTGCAAACGGCTCCTTAGCTGCTGTGGCAAATTACTTTTTCCACCAGCAAAGCTTTAGCAGCGTTTGCTGTAGTGTGAATGCTACAAACTATTGAACATATTTGTTGTGCTTGATATCTTTGAACGCTGTTACAATCGAAATACGCCGACAGCGTTCGATGTGGGAGAACGTTGCCACTGTTTATAGGGCTAGCCGAGTTCGCGGTTCCGGATACTGCCAGCATGGCACGCACTAACAGTGTTCGCGGGGAACGCTGCCAGAGACCCCATCTACCGGCAGCGTTCCCTGGGACGCTGCTTGCAACCTATTACCAGCAGTGTGCCACCCGGACACTCGTAACTGGCTCCCCGGAAGGCAGCTAGTCAGGGGTCCTGTACTAGTGCATGCCAAAGCCATAGTCATAAGTCGTTCTCAACAAAAAGAAGCTTCATAATAAGTGGAGTCAAAGTTTCTGGTCCATGCATACATTGGCAACGACCGAGTTTGCCGAGATCATGCGGGCCTAATCTCGGCAAACATTTGGATGCCACGTGCCATGCTCCTAGGTTACCAAGTTCGTCGAGTCCCCGCTCTTGGTTCTCAGCAAATTGCTGTGCTACATGGCAGCCATCGTCTCCATCTGGCCCGTCAAGTCGCTTTTTTTTTCCGTAGTCCCAGGTTTAGTGCTCGGCAAAGACGTTGTCGAGTCCCCGATGAATGGCACTCGGCAAAGTAGTCTTTGCCGGTAGGTTTGGGGCCGAGTACCCTAGGCCGAGAACTACACTCAGCAAATTCTTTTTTTTTTTGCCAAAAAAAAAACTCAGCAAATTCTTTGCCGAGTGTGAAACAGTTTTCGCCGAGTTTTTCTGGCACTCAGGAAACTCTGAAATTCCAGTAATGATAAGTCATTGTCAACATAAGGAAACTTCATAATAAGTTGAGTCAAAGTTTCTGGTCCATGCATGCATTGGTTAAGCAAATCAACTTACGTGAACTACATTTTTTTGCTTATCTCCAAGTTGTTGGTTGATCTCCGGCAATGTGGCTGCATGCCAATGGCTTAGTTTCGTAAGCCATGAAGTAGACTTGGGAACCAACGATATCCTGACTGATTCTGTCCGAGGATAAGAGGAGTGAGGGTTCTTAATTCAGATGGAATTTGCAGCTGTAATGATGTGATTGGCATTCAACCATTCAATGCAACAGAAGTTTGACATGGACTTTCATTCTTCACCGTGTTTGCCTTTCTAGAAGGATTTGTTTAGCATGGGTTGGGGAGATAACATTGACTGCATAATTTTCTATATGAGTGAAGTGCACTGTAGGTCCTCGAACTATTTCAGGGGTGTCACGTAGGTCCTCGAACTATGAAAATTGTCATCCAAGTCCTCAAAATGCAGTAACTGTGTCATTCGGGTCCAAAATCTCCCTGACCCCCTCTAACCGGCCAGCTGGCGGCGTTAAACATGAACAATGAAATAGTGAACTGTGAACAGTAAAACAGCGTTAAGTTCCGAGCATCATTTATGTACGTGATGAACAGTAAAATAAAAAAAATCTGAAAACCTTTGACATCGAAGATACCCAGGTGTATGAACATTAAAATGTTCATTAATTCAGAAAAATGTTCGCGAATGATGAATTTGGAAAAAATATACGCGACTTTAAAAAAATGTTCGCGGACGATGAATTTGGAAAAAATATTCGCGACTTTAAAAAATGTTCGTGAATGATGAATTTGGAAAAAATATTCACGACTTTAATTAAATGTTCGTACCTTTAAAGAGATGTTCGTGAACGATGAATTTGGAAAAAATATTCATGAATTTTAAAAAATATTCACGACTTTAAGAAAATGTTCGCGAATGATGAATTTGGAAAAACTATTCGTGAATTTAAAAAAATGTTCACTAACATTTTTTTAAAGTCAAATATATTTGTGGTTCGCGAACATTTTTTTAATGTCACGAACATTTTTTCCATGCCTGCGAACAATATTTGTGGTTCGTGAACATATTTTCAAATTTATTGTTTGTGAACATTTTTCTAAAGTTGCGAATAACTTTTCCATATTCGCGAACATTTTTTTGAATTAGTGAACATTTTTACTGTTCACGCACCAGGGTATCTTCAATGCCAAAGAATTTCAGATTTTTTTGATTTTTACTGTTCATCACGTACAAAAATGATGTTTGAACTGGAACGCTATTTTACTGTTCAGTGTTCACGGTTAACGGCGCCAGCTGGCTAGTTAGAGGGGGTTAGGAAGATTTTGGACCTAAATGATACACTTATTGCAGTTTGAGGACCTGGATGACGATTTTCATAGTTCGAGGACCTACATGACACCCCTGAAATAGTTTAAGGACCTACATTGCACTTCACTCTTTCTATATCGATTGCAACTAAGGACCTCTCCTATAAATTCAGCCCCGGCCAGCCCATCTAATTAAAACTGTATCATCATTTCATAATTTTTGCTGAATCCCATTTCATTTTCCCAAACCACTACTGTACATCGCATATGTCTACTTTCCCGACTGCCAACCCACCACCGCGGTTTGGCAACGATTCTCCCAGTCCCAACAGCTCCTTCCCTTCCTTCCTCCCCATCGTCATCGGTGCGCTCTCAACTTATCAGGGCTAACTACAGTTTTATCCCCCGTAAAACTTATGAAGACTACGAATTCAAGATGATTTATGTCTAGTACTACGAATTTTGCTGATATATATGTACACTGAATTTCCTTATCACTGAATGATGCAGTGTTTACGCTACTGAGCATATTGGGAACCATCGCCATAGCTGGCTTCCTGTGCAGATACGTCAAGAAGCACGGCCTCCATGCCATCACCATCAGCACAGGTGCCGCCCCGGTTAGCACGGCACTGTACGCGGTGGCGCCGGACACCCAGATACGGGACGCCACCGTGGAGAGGTTCCTCAGGGAGATTGCTGGCGAGAAGCCCATCCGATTCACTCCGCAGCAGCTCTCGGGCTTCACCAACAACTACTCTGTCCGGCTCGGCGCTGGTGGCTTCGGTGCCGTTTACAAGGGCATGCTCCCCAATGGTCTCACGGTCGCCGTGAAGCGCCTCCACGCCGGACGCCACGACGACAGGACCTCTCAGGAGCAGTTCATGGCGGAGATGGGCACCATCGGGAGGACGCACCACATCAACCTCGTCAGGCTCTTCGGCTTCTGCTACGATGCCGCTGACGTGCGCGCTCTGGTGTATGAGTACATGGAGCACGGCGCGCTCGATTCCTACCTCTTCGACCGGAGCCGCCAAGTCTCTTTCCAGACGCTGCAAGACATCGCCGTTGGCATTGCCAGGGGGCTCCGGTACCTCCACGAGGAGTGCCAGCAAAAGATCGTGCACTACGACATCAAGCCCGGCAACGTGCTCCTCGACGGCAGCCTTACCCCAAAGGTGGCCGACTTCGGCCTTGCGCAGCTGCTGAACCGGGCGGACACCCACAAGAGCGTCTCCGGGATGCGCGGCACACCAGGTTATGCTGCACCAGAGATGTGGATGCAGGTCGGTGCCACCGTGAAGTGCGACGTGTACAGCTTTGGCATCCTCCTGTTTGAGATCCTCGGCCGAAGGAGGAACCTCGACGAGACCGCGCCAGAGAGCCAGCAGTGGTTCCCCAAGCTGGTGTGGGTAAAGTATGAGAGCGGCCGGCTTCTGGAGGTCGTAGAGACTTGTGATGGCGCGGACGAGCAGGACAAGAAGACGGCGGAGAGGATGTGTGAGGTGGTGTTCTGGTGCGTGCAGCAGCAGCCGGAGGCGAGGCCTCCGATGGGGGTGGTGGTGAAGATGCTTGAAGGCGAGATGGACATTGCTCCCCCGGTGAACCCGTTCCAGCATCTCATGGCAACGCCGGTGGTGGCAAACATGTGGACCACCGTGACGAGCAGCGTGAACACGGTCTCGACTGGGGTAGATATCGATGGTGTTTCTCGTGAAATTTGTTCGACATAAACTAGTGTGCTCGGTAGCCAAGCTAGTTTAGCTAGTAGCACATTTTCGTCTTCCCGTGTCCCCTCCCCTCTACATGTATGGTGAGCACATGCGATATTGGCGATGTGTGCGTCGTATCGTTTAGCTCACAAGTCCGCTCGTGGGATGGCGCGAGCATCATGGACCGTAGGTTCTGCAGTCCTGCAATAAAAATGAGAAGGGAAAGTTTTACGTACACTTGTGTTCCTCATTACTCTTTGCGTTTGCTACCAGCTGTTTCCTGGGTCGTGGTGTCACTGAGGAAAATGAAACATCACCGTGTATCGAGGTTTAAGCATAGTTTTAAATAGCGCGCTAAGCATCTTAGCGGCAGACCTCTTCCAAATGCTATAGCGTGCTATAGCGAAGCTATAGCGCGCTATTTAAAATGTTTGTTCATTTGTTTAGACCAAAGTCCCTTAGCATAAGACCTTTTGTAAACGCTATAGCGTGCTATAGTGGAGCTATAGCGGGCTATTTAAAACAGTGCGTTTAAGCCGAGTGACAAAACATGGCTACTCAACTTACATGAGTTACATCCACATAAGCTAAGCCAGGAACGGAAAACTCACGGCGAAAAAACGAGAGACGACTTAAATCCGAATGAGCCAAGAAAAAGTTTTCGGCTGTATGACACTCGGCTTAAAGATAGAGCTCGATAAAGATTTCTGTAGAGTGGCCGCCGTCGATAGATTCAAGGGCTAGCATGAGGCCGCTGGTATAAGCCGAGTACCCTCTCCAGGAACTCGGCTTAAGTATAAGTTAGAATTGCATGGCCGCACAAGCGCCGACCCCTTCGTCTTCAAATCAGGCCACTGCACGGCGACACCGCATCCGCCCGCTCACCGCCGCCACCCTCCGCCCCCAAAACCTCACCGGCGACGCCCTATCTTCACCTCTCTGACTTTGTCGGTGCCGTTCACTCCGCCAGCGACCCGCAGCCACCGCCTTAACGCATCTGGAGCCTCCCGGGTCGCTTCGAGCGACTCCGGAGGCACCGTTGCAGCCTTCTTCGGAGGCCCTCCCTGACAGCCCCATTCACCTCGCCGCCGCTGGAGGAAGCCGGCCACCCGACGGACTGTGGCAGGGCGTCTTTGGCTGGGGTTTTTTAGTCTTCCCTGGTGGCCGCCTCCTGATCTGGTCGCCGTTGTGGCTGTTATGCGTTGCCGGCCTCCCGATCTAACAGTTCTCTGGTTATTGCCGACCTTCTGATCTAGATCATGTCCATGGCTTGGTACCTCCCGATCTGGTTGCTAGCCGGTGATTCCGGTCTTTCGATCTAGTTGGTGTCCATGGCTAGGAGTATGATCAAGACAATCGTGCGGGGCTGGTGTATGGATGTTGCATACAGACGGGCCGCTTGGAACGTGCACATGCGTGCAGATGACGGCCGCCGACTAGCTACATCCCATGGTCCTGGCCACTTGACTTGCTGATTACGGTCGCCATCGAAAGATTTTTCTGTGAGTTTCATCTCTGCAGATCCGGTGGTTGACTTCGGTGACGAGAAGCAATCTATGGACGGAGTCATGCAGAGGGATGGTTGTGCTGCGGCGAGGATCACATTGCATGTAGCTGCAGGGGTCGTGGAAAAGTGGTGGCAACAACCATGAATGACTCCAATGCTGGTGCTATTTGAGCACCAAGTCTCCAGCTCCAGGGTGAAAGCCTAGGTCTGACCCTAGTTGGGTATACCTGGCAATGGCGATGTTTTACATTGTCCTTGTCGAAGGCATTGTTTGGAATGCTCGGACTGATTCTTTAGGGTGAAAGTCTAGATTCTAGTATTGGTTGGCTGTATCCGGTGATGGAGACATTTGAGTGTCGCCCCCTTTCTGAAGGTCTTGCTGTTGAAGAAACTCATCGTCTGTGTGGTCCCATGAGATGATCGGTGGAGATATGGTCATTGTTATAGTTTGTCGATGGCGGATCTGATCGCTTTGGGGCATTATTTTTTTCCTCGCCTACGCATAGTTTTGGTCTTATATGACTTTGTTGTTTTTCGGCCTGTTTTGGTGTGCGTGCGTTGTTTGCATCCGAATTATGCAGAGGTCGGGTGTGTTCTCATTGTGTTTGCATCCTCTTAATGTTTCATTTTGAGTCAATAAAGTTCACCCTTTATCGAAAAGAATTAGAACGAATGATATGGCGAGATCTATGATATGATTAATTATGTGAAGTAGCTACAATAGAATCTCTATAATTATATTAAAATCGATGATATTTGGAAAGATGATCCATTTTTTTTGCGGATGATGATCCATATAGCTAGCTAGTATAGCTATAGATTGCAATCTGATATATGGATAGATTGTATGAATATGAGTTACATATGGATGTAAACTTAATTAGCAATATAATTCTTGGCTTAATGATTTCTCTCGGCAAACATAATCGCAAGCGGGCCCCATGTGGCACCTTCTGTTCGCCTAGGCCGGCCATCATGTTGCTTTATTTTGCTGACTACAGTTGTTTCTTACTTGGCTTACATGTAAATCAAGTACCCGCGAAACGAATTCGGCTTACACAGCATAAGCCGGTTCATATGAAGCCGAGAGCCTTAATATGAGAACAACAACCGGCTTACTCTAAGCCGAACTATTTGGTGCTTTGCCGAGTATGTTTCATACTCGTCTTTATTTATTTATCATATCATATGTTGTCGCCTTTGATGTAATAATCTATTTCTTCTTAATAAATTGGGTTTGCTACTTAACAGTTACTTGTTTATTTTCATTTTAGTCATTTTCCCCTTTCTATTTAGTCTGTTACCCTTTTCCCTTTTAGTGCATTCTTGTATCCAGCAGGGAGTACGATGTGCTTTACTCAAGCTGGTGATGCTTCACTCTACTTAATTAGGTACAGTTTGAGCCCCACGTCTCCATATATACAAGCAGTCAAGCACAGTACATGTAACACATGCGAGCTCGTCTCCTAATCACGTGCTAGAATGATACGGAGACGGGGATAAATTCACAAATCTTAGTAAATTTCTACTTAATTTCAAACACACTTATAAGATTTGATTTGAACTTTGTAAGATTTAAACCCAAGACTACTGTGCATAGAGTCATGCACCCACAGCTCTACAGCCCACAAAAGAGGTGGTTCTTCCATTCAAACCGTCACCACCATCGAACCTCTGACCCATCTCCAGAAAAGAGATCCCATTATCCTTGTCGGGCTGGCCATCCGTCGACGCCTCCACAACATCATGTATTCAAAGACATCTGTTGTCAAAACTCAACTGCACCATGTCGCCAAGATCCATTGTCATTGACCTGCTAGATGCAACGCCGCTCCACCTCTTTGCCCCTTCAAACCTGGTCCAAAATGATGCTCCCAAGTGGGAGAATGCATCGAAGGCGTCGTCATCGTCCAATCCGGGAGACCCAGATCTAGGGTTTACCCTGTGCAAACCAACCGAGGTTACAACACACACCCTATACCAGTGCCCAAGAAGGCAGCTCCAAGGAGGTAACGACAACATAGCGCCGCTGCCGCCCATTCATCGGGAACTAGGGTTTTCATCTGAGCACAAAGGACATGGGGGAGTGGTGCGAGATATCCTCAACATCGCCACCAAGGAGACAATGGTGCCTGGAGAACCATCGACATCGTGGCCGCCGCCGCCGGCTAGGGTTTTCCCCCTCACGAGGTCCCAACCCGACATCCTCATGGCCCGCCACCACAACTCTGAGCACGGACGCCGGAGTCGGCACCGGACGGAGGAGGTGTGCCGCATCCGAGGGAGGGTACCACGAGGGGCGCCTCGCATATGGCATATGGGCAAGATCCGATTCGGCCTCGTAGTCCATGCAACCAAAGAGCCCGGCCGACCTCCAACAAGCACCCCCAGCCGAAGAATGGACTCCGCCCATACAGTCTTCCGCGCGCCCGCAAGCCCTACCGCCACCGCCAGTAGCACACCACGCCGCCATCCACGAGATGCGCCCCGAGCCGCCGCCCTCGGGCAGGAGGAGAGATGCCCCCATGCGTCGAGGCCGGCCAGACTTTGCCCCTCAGCACACGACGGTGGCGGTGAGGAGGGGTGGTCCACGAGGGGGGTCTGGTAGTGGCGGATATGCCCCCCCCCCCACCCCACCCCGGCTGCCCGTGCAGGCAACGGGAGGAGTCGCGGGGAGGTGCATAGAAGGAGGGGGCGGAAGAGGAGAGACTCGTTGATGAAGGAATGGAGGAGGAGGAGGAGGAGTGGATTTCGTGAAGAGGAGACGCCTACTCACGAGGAAATCACATAAGTCTGCAACACGCTCGGGTAAAAACATGTATTAAAGACCTGATTTGCAACCACGTCAAGTTCCCCTAGTGTAGGTGATCTATAAGGCTAATCATAGTGGAAACTAACTTAGACTAGTAAAATATTACTAGTCTGTGTTACTATCTTCATAGTGGGTATTGTCTTAGTTATGATAACACCTTGATTTATTATTTTGTAGAATCATCTTTCATTGGAAGCGCTATGTGATGGTAACATATTATGTTACTTCATTTATCACTCTCCTCTTTAATTGCATACCATATCATCTTTTTTGCTTATGTGACATGCATGTTACTATCTATATTACTCCTACTATGACTAGTCTAAGGGATGGAAGTGTAGAACGATTGTGAGGGAAGCTGATCCCTCACGATAAATTAGTGTTTGCTGAAAGCATGAACAATTAGAATTTCAAATTGTCCAATGCCAAGTGTTTAAAGATGACGAACGTCACTAAATTCAACGAATACAAGGATAACACCAACACGCTTTGTTGAATGTCCAACCATCCTGGTATATGATGACCTTTTCTTAAACAGTGTTTGACAATAATGACAAGGACATGCCAACTGCTACCAATGTTATTTATTCTCATGGAGTCTTAGATCATCTTTACTGAGTAAGCAGTGGTCTGTTTCGAATGCAGGCGCAGCCAATCAAAATGGTGACAAATGGACCAGTATTTTAGTTTCATATTCAATTT